GAAAAGTTGGAGTCAGACAACCAAGTCCGTTTTATGCTGTTGACTTTAAATTCTGAGAATATTATTCTTGGATTTTAGAGCAACCCTAAATAGACTTTTTTTTAATTTTATCAGTTCCTCAGCCACAAGTGTGTTTGGTTTAGTTTGTATTTTTACCGTGTTGTTAGGTCGGATCTTTCAGAATGCTCTATCACAGTGAAGTCTATGGTACCCTACTACTGCCTAGAATGCATCTGCTATTTGTAGGTGACATTCCTTGTCATTGCTATCATAAAGGACTTTAACAACCCCAGTTGAAAGTCAATATATATGATATTCATTACCCCATCCATATCTGTTGTTTTCATTACATTCTCAAAAATTTCTATTACGTTTAGTAGATATGACCTGCCTTTCTTGACCTTGAATTTTTATAATTTAAAAGAAATGTTTCCAAACATGATTTTTTTTGAAGAATTCGAAGTAAGCAGACACTTCTTGTAACAAATAAGAATAAATCTGGCTCACAGCTACTAGCCAAGCATTTTCATAGTTTAAATTAAAGTGCAAATGATTTCAATGGGCTAGGTTGAGGTTTACAGTAAAGTTTTATAAGTGCCCCAAGGGAAAGATAATCTGAACAGATGTATTAGCATTTCTTCAGGGAAATTTTTACAAGTTTCCAAATGCCCTGTAACTTTCAATATTTCAGCTGTAAGAATTTGCGTTCCAACAGAGATTAATGTTCTTTTCTGAAGGCAGCTCTCATAAGCTATACACTAGCAGATGCTATTCTCCTGACTACCACTAGAGAGTGTAGTGGGGGTAGAAGGGACAAGACTAAACTTTCTAGGAAAATACTACTATAAAGTGTGGGGAAATATAACTCAATCCTCTATGGCGGTCTTTGTAGTCCATTTCCTGAGCCAGGCGGGCACTGCTGATGACAGACAACCAGCCTGGCTCATCGGCAGGACTTCAAGGGGCAGACCAGTCACTGGCATCAGAGTTCTTTCCACTTGGTTCCTGCCAAACATGTAAGCTGAAGTCCTAACGTCTGGTGTGATCCCAGTTGGACAAGCAGTGGAAAGCTTGCCGGACAGTGCATTCAATGGCAAACTATGCTGAAACGCACAAACTGGGGTCCCAAAGCTTTGGCTCTTGGAAATCAGCACCTTTTATTCTCTGAATTAAGTAAGTAGGATGCATCTCTTTGGGGAGAATGTGTGCATTCCATTTCCAGACTTGGAAATTTCTTTATGTAGATGGTATATATGGGACTCTGTCTGGTTTGGATACTTATAAGCACAGTGATGGGTTTTCATGTGTGTCAGACATTTTTTGATTGAAGAGAAACATGCTCAACATATGTTCTAACTGATTATTTTAAGACCCTACAAGTATAATTGCTACTTAATGACTTACTTAGTCGTGTCTAAGTGCATCCTAAAGATTTTTCTAATATTGTATCTAGTTATAAATGAACTTGAATCTCTCACTTCAGTAACATGCATGGTTAATGTTTGCTTTGACTGAGACTGATTTATGTTCTCAGGTTTTAATACAGTTGTTGAACTCCTGTGATAATGGGTCAGTGCTAAATTCCATTAGCTCTGATATTTCACTCATGCAACAGCTGTCAATTATCTACTTCCACTGATGCACTACATCTTCAGATTCAAGAACTCAAGAGACATCATGTGCCTTGCATTGATGGAAAGGCAACTTAATCAGCTTGCCCCTGACAGTATTGGCAGTGGTTTCTGTTACCTGGAAATACTCCAAAATGTGGCTGCAGTATGCCAGCGATATCATTGTGTCATCACTGTGCCAAAACTGACAATATGTCCCTTCTGGTTCATTTCAATAAACCTCTTTAAATACTTTCATTAGGTATTCAGCAGTTGGTTCCTTTTGTGGAATCCAGAGAATACACAAAGCAAAAATAAAAATGAAATCATAAGGTTGGGAACTTAACATGCAATTCCTTTTCCATTAAAATATGTGGAAAAATTCTGTTTATATCATGCAATGAGTTTTCCAGACAGTCTGATTTACTGACGTATTGCAAGAACAAGTTCATTGAAAACTTGTCTGGAACATATACGTGTTTGCAGGTCTGCTCTCAAGGTGTGGGATGACAGTACTGTATATTGTTTTTGCACCTGGTGATTAAATCAAGGATTCAAGGTCTACCTTTGCCTCTGGATTCCATCCTTTCCCTCTCTGCCCCCAATGCAACCTTTTTGTATTTCTATTTGATCAATGTTACAGTCAAACCTGTTCTAGCAACCACCTCCTGTTAACAACCACCCTGGAATAGCCTGAGTAGATTTTCCATAATAAAGCAGGTCTATTCAGCAACCACCCGTCTAATGCAACTGGTGGCCATTCTTTGTTAGTCCTTTTACACTCTGTGCCTTTGTGCTGGCACCCTTTTCAAGGCCAAGCTTTTTGAGATACACAGTCAGATAATAGCAAGCGCCACCCAAAACTGATTATGGACTTGTTCAGCAAACAGTAAAGACTTGTGATGGTAATTTTATTTGTAATTAAATTTATCTTTAATGTATTTATTAATTTATTAAAGTTTATATGTGCACTGTATCGTTCTATACACTCGGAAATTCTTCCTACACCAACGAACCCTTACTCAGAGGCTCAGCCTTATATAAAGCTCACTTTGGCCTCGCCCCCCTGAGAGGTCGTTGAAGACAGGTTTGTCTTTCTATTCCTCTTGTTCCTCTTGTTTCCCCCTGAGCTTCAAATATATTGTCCCACAAGCTCTTCTTCCTGCCTGCATTGAAATCAAATCTCTTTTTATCACTCTGAAACATTCCTTTATAGGACTATACAGCCGCTTTCATCCTTCATTTTTCCCTAACTCCCACAACTTAGCCTTCAAAATTTGTGCATGGCATCATCTAACCACATCTCGGTTTGTGTCTTTTTAACCTTTAATGCTGACCTGCAGTATGAGCCTTGACCCTTCATTTTTCAGAAACTGCAGCTTGAGTTAAAAAAATAATAATGTAGTCACTCAATCCACGACTGTTTGTGGGATACTGCTGCCGCATTTCGCCCACACATATACAATCAATTCACTTTACAGTATATTCTGTCAAGCGTTTTGAGACGTCTAGAAGACATGAAAAGCGCTATATCAAATGCAAGGATTACTAGTATTATTATTATTTCCCGTGAAGCGCTTTGAGACATCTCTAAGACGAGATAAGGCGCTATATCAAATGCAAGAAGTATTAGCATTTTTAAAGCATTCCTCACTTCTCAGTTGGGCTTTCTTTATAATACAGGCAATGTGGTTCAATACCATTGTAAAAAGCATCTCTCACAGTCACAAAAAATAACAGACACAAATATCAGTCCCACGCATTCATGTGATTTTATTATCTTTTTTGGCATTTGGACATGCTCAAGAGGATGTGCATAAATGTCAATATTGAAGTTAAAAGGGAGCAGTGAATTCTGGAAATAGTCTGTGTGATTAGTAAAGAAAGGTGCTTAAAGCAGTGCAGAGTTGGCTCCCACTCTTATTCAGTCCATGAATAAAGCGCTATAGTAATCAATTATGAGGTCAGACCCAAAGGATTTAAAAAGGTTACTCCCTGTACTGTTTGGATTCAAATGGGCTAATATAAAACTTATGGGAAACTTAATTTGACTGGTTGCATTGCTGGGGTATCAATAATTTTTTGTACATTTAAATATTAATCATGGTAAACAAACAAAGTGACCAATTACATCATTTGAACAATGTATTCTGGGCGAAAGGCGTAATATTAATGCAACTTGTTGTTTTGTCGTTATAAAAATGCAAGCTAGCATAATCATTTTCAAACTCATTATGTGGGTACAAGCCCCACCTCGGGACTTTCGAACTCGTATCGTCTTGGCTGACATCCCAATGCGGTGCTGGGAGAACGCTGAACTGTCGAAGGAGCTGTCCTTTGGATGAGATGTTAAACCGGAGGTCCCGGCAGCCCTGCCCGTGGTCAAGCGGACATTAAAAGTCGTGCGGCGCTCTTCAAAACGCGAGTGTTGTTTTTCTCGGTGTCCTGACCGGTAACCTCCCCGAATTTGTTTTTTTTTTTAAAAAAATAATAAAGAGTGATCCTTCACCTGGTCGGTAATTGTGGGACATCGCTCTGGGCAAATTGCCGCGTTGGCCTGAAAAAAAAAAACCCCACAACAGTCGCTGAGGTCAACCGAAAATCGAGCGAAGCGCCTCGGGACGCTTGACGTGACCTTGCCGCGCGCCAGGACTATCTCACGTTATTCCCCGCACCACCCGCCAACGAGGAGAGTTTTCAATACACCGATGGGGGGGAAGCGGGTTGGGGGGGGTGGGGGGAAGCGGGTTGGGGGGGGGTGGGGGGGAAGCGGGTTGGGGGGGGGGTTGTAAGGGTGTAAGGGGGGTGTTGGGAGCGAACCAATTAATAAGCCGGTCCTGGGGCAGCTCAAACTGGTCCCCTTTCTCAATGGCACCCCAAGTCCTTGAGCCGTCAGCCAATGGCCACAGCCCAGACGGGTCTGGTCCCGGTAACTGACCGGACCGCCCGCCAATGGTAACAGGTCCCGGGGTTCGGGACCAATTGATGCCGGAGCACCAATGAGTGCGGAGGGAGGCGGAGCGGACGATGCTATCAGGTTCGGTTCATTTTTTTCTGCGCCTCTCTTCACCTTCATTTCCCACCAAGTTTGGAGTCGCCGTCCGAGTCTCCTGCGAGACGGGATCTCTCGGTTCGCTTAACTCCACTCCGTCTGATGGGAATTGGACACATACACTACACACACACACACACACACACTGGACACACTACACACACCACACATACACTACGCACACACACTGGACACACATACACACACACACACACACACACACTGGACACACTAAACACACCACACACACAGTAGACACACCACACATACACCCACAGTAGACACACTACACACACACCCACACACTACACACACACACACCACACACACACACACACACACACACACCACCCAGAGCAAAAGAAAATGTTTGACAGCTCGATTGCACACTTTGTAGCCTGTGTCGGTGTCTTGTTGTACTCGCAGTGGGATTTCACTCCAGGTACACGAGTTAAATTTTCGATCGACCTGATGATGCGTGTGAGTCAACAACGGGGTGAGGGGTGGGGGGGGGGGGGGGGGGGGAGAGGAAAAAAAAAATAAGCCAAAAAAGCAAAAAAAAAAAGAGAGAGAAAGAGAAGGAGGAAAAGTTTTCCAACTTTATGAGAGTGCAGTAGTGTGTTTGGCTGCAACACTTTTTTTTTAGAGAAGAGTTTCCATTCCCTGGACGTGGCTTTCCAAGAAACCTCGAAGGACTCGGTCATCAAGTCATTGATATCGATATCATATCGATATGGATACAGACACAGAGAGAACGGGTGTCGTCTTGTGATTGTCGTTCATCAGTTTGTGATTTTCTTGGTGTTTCTTTCTGATGCGGAAATTAAGTTACGCTTTTTTTTTAACCCCTTTCCACCCCAACGACTTAACTTAACCCCCAACCCCCCCCCCACCCCCACCCTCACCCTAACCCCCCCCCACCCTCACCCTAACCCCCCCCCACCCTCACCCTAAACCCCCCCCCCCACCCTCACCCTAACCCCCCCCCACCCTCACCCTAAACCCCCCCCCCACCCTCACCCTAAACCCCCCCCCCACCCTCACCCTAACCCCCCCCACCCTCACCCTAAACCCCCCCCCCCACCCTCACCCTAACCCCCCCCCACCCTCACCCTAAACCCCCCCCCCCCCACCCTCACCCTAAACCCCCCCCCCACCCTCACCCTAAACCCCCCCCACCCTCACCCTAAACCCCCCCACCCTCACCCTAAACCCCCCCACACCCCCACCCACCCCTCTCCTCCTCACTCCCCCCCACCCCCACCCCCCCCCCTCAAAAATAATAATATACACACACAGTTGACGCCGAGAAGGAGTTGGAAGTGACGGTACCGAGAAGGATTTACAGCGGTGAAGCCCACCCGGTCCCAGGGCGACCCCGACGAGGCGGGTTTGCGGGAGCGGAGCGCCGGGGGAGGCGTTCGCTTGGGGCAGGTGGCGATGGGGAGAGGGCTCCTCGGTCTCGGGCTGCGCCCCTCCCGGATGCCGGAGACACAGAGCTCTATGTGCTGGTGCCGGCGTTTGGGAAGGAGCTGCGTTTGCACCTGAAACGCGACCTGCGGTTCCTGGCGGCGGGTTTCACTGTGGAGGATCACGGAGAGGGGTTCGGGGCTCCCGGTCCCCGTCCCCGGTCCGCGGCTCCCGAGGAGCGCTGCTTTTACACCGGACACGTCGTCAACCACAGCCGCCGCTCCTCCGTCTCCCTCAGCACATGCAATGGACTGGTAGTACCACCTTTATTATTGCAGCTGCAGTTTGATTAAAATATATATATATATGTGTGTATGTATGTATGTGTATATCTATTATTATATGTACTTTTTTTTCAACAACAAATACGCAAACGCAGAATTTAGTATGTTTTCGGACGAGGCGCACATACAACACACACAACACACATACAACACACACACACAACACACACACAACACACATACAACACACATACAACACACAACCCACACACACACAGACACACAACACACACACAACACACATACAACACACACAACACACAACCCCCACACACACAGACACACAACACACACACAACACACACACACAGACACACACACACAGACACACACAACACACAGACAACACACACACACACAACACTGACGCTTATCTGAAAATGCTCGTGTTTTATTTATTTATATGTATATATATATATATTTTTATTTACTCATTTTCGAACAAATTAAGTCGCTTGAGGTTTTTTTTTGCTCGGAATAAAGTTGCGCGGATGCGGCGTCTTAGTTTGGTCTATCACTTTGGTTTCACGTTTGAAGGGAATTCGTTTTATATATATATATATATATATATATATATATATAATAATATATATATAGAAACCCATCGGTCATTTTTACCCATTTCGACCCGATATAAAAAGCCTTATCCCATATGCGTCTCTGGATTGTAACTCAATGCAAATACCCTCCCAAACTTCTTGCAAATTTTTTTTTGAGGGGGGGGGGGATGAACGCTATTTTTTAAATTTTTTTTTATATATATATATTGTAAAACGCCAAGTCATTTCCGAAGCAGGAAAAAAAAATGTTGTCTTGATATACTTCTGTTACTTCTGTTTGATGAGACCGCGGACTGACGTTTCCCAGACAGTAAAAATGCACTTGTTAACTCGATCCCTCTCACTGGAGCAATACTGTGTGAGCTCTTAAAACAAGTGGGTTCAGAAATCCTAACCCTGGGGTGGGGGGGTGGGGGGGATGGTGGGCAGAGCAAACTGTTACCCCCCAACCCCACCCCCGAGAGAGCCAGTGTTTGTCACTTGGAAGTGAAGGGTCTGTAACTGGAGTGTTAGGTTTCCAGCTGTTGGCCCCCAATAACTTTCGCATTGCGGATACACATGTGTCCCAGAGCCAAAAAGAAATGATGCACTCCACAGTCAGACGTTTCACTCCTTTCCCCATCCTCACTGCTCGCTTTCAATTCGCAGCGATTTTTTTTTTTTGACAAAGATATTACAATAGTTTGGGGGGGAAAATCGAAAAGCAATCGTTGTTGTGACTACGCTATTATGGTCTGATGGAGAGATTACAATTTGGACGTGGTTGCCTGTGTGTGTGCTTGTGTGTGCATATATGTATAATATATTATATATATATATATAAAAGTTTTTGGCAGGATAAGTATTGTATTTGGATTTAGTGTATGGGCTGACTGTGTAATCTAATTTGTGACCACAATGCTGCATTTGGATCAGGTGCATAAAACCAGGACTTGACATCTGAATTGGCAGCAGAAACCAAACTGAATTGGTCCCAGTCAGGTCAGATGGAATCATTGGAACCAGTCAGCAGACTTGCATTGATCTCCCTGACCCCATTCTTCTTGTGAGCCAAACTAGCATGTGACCCACTGGGTGAATGACCAATTACATGTAGAATTTGAGACTTGGCTTAAAAAAAGAATACTGCCCCAGTCATTGCAGCAAAGTGGGGTGGGGGGGAGAGAGAATTTCAGCCTTGGTTTTGTTACCCCCACTATTGGTTAGTAAGATGTCAGCGGGTTTACCAGTCAATGTGTGCTCCGTGTTAATCTGGTTACAATACTCAACACTGCCTTGACTTTTATGTGTGTAAAACTGCCTTTAGTTGTAGCATTGATCGATGCCATGTTGTACTCATGTGTTTAATTTATTTTGCCTCAGACAGTATATCTAATTGCTTAAAGGAGCACTGCCAGCTCGAGGCATATTTAGGATGCACTCCTTCCCTTAGAACCGCTTACTCAGATCAAATGCTAGAGGAATCTATTAATGTTATCGCTATTTTCATTCCACACTGATTTTTTAAAAAAATAAAAAAATGTGTGATTGATTACGTGTTAAAACCGAGCCTTGTCACATACTCTGGGTGTTCATAAATGCGAAGAGTTCTTGCAACATCACCAGTTGCCAATGTAAAAAAAAAGTGCTTGATGCATATTTCATCCAGCAACTGGCCACAGAAGTGAGCAGCAGAGAAGCCAGTAAAATAGATTGCTTTGTCCTTGTCCAGGAGTTTAATTTTCAACATCAAAAGATTGGTCCATACATTTAATATTGTATGGGAAATGCTGATTCTCTCACCGGACACAACATATTGCCTGCTGCCCCTGACCTTGCCAATACTTTAAACGTTCGCTATTCCTCACAAGTCAATCTGTGGTGTGATTTGTGTGGTCCGATCTGTTTCCTGCTTGCGAGAAAAAGGTTCCATTGAGCCCAGCCAGCAGGTCTCCGCCTTGTGGAAGTGCTTCATTTTAATGCTGCAGCAGCAAAGCCCGCGATTCATTTTTATGGGTTTAGAGGTAAAAGCACCGCAGTGAATTATGTTTGTTTTGGCTGTCTTGAAGCGTATCTGGGCTGGGTTCGGTTGGTATAACTTTAACTCTTAGGTTTCCAGTTTTTTTTAACAAAAACAACTAAAATAAACTTTTTTTTGTTAGAATATAAATTAGGAAACTTTTTTCCTGGCAATTTTCTCCTCCCTTGAAAGTTTCTCCCCCTTTCCACAGGAGGCATTGTTCCATGGGTTGTTTGAGCTTTTAAAAAAAATGTTAACCCTCCAAATAACTGAGATCATTTAACTCCCACAGGGTCTTGCCCTGCAACTTTCCAAACTATATAGAGATCATCCTTTTATTGGGCCACTATACTATCGGGAGAGCTTTTTTATGAAATGGAAAGTTATGCATTTTAAGTTTCTTGCCATCACAAATTTAGTGCTAGAAATTTTATTCAAATCAAGTTTAATTATCTGTGTGTAGCTTCATGTGTGTAACGGACAAATCTATGAAAACTATTCTCATTGACCTGTGAGAGTCGTCTTAAGATGATTTGTTTCTTTTTGCAGCTTGGATTTATTCAGATTGGAGATGAGCTTCTGTCAATAGAACCTATAAATAAAGTGAACACTTCATTCAGTGGAGAGGCACACCAGCTCTACAGAACAAAGCGATCGTCGAAAACCAAGAAAACTGATCTAATCCAGGAGTCTTGCAAAGTTATTGCAGGTAGAGATCCTTTTGTCAAGTTCAGATCTGAAGAGTGATATTGCACCACTGGGTGAACAGGTGAATTTTGCTTTAGATGAAACTTGTGGTGAGTAAAGTTATCTCAGCCTGAACAGTGATAGCAGGTCTACAGATGGTTTCAAGAACCCTATCTTGGGAGGGGAAATATTGGCTTGGGTTTCCATGCATAATTGCTAAATGGTGATTTCTACTGCAAGTCCATGCATGTGGATTTCAGGCTGTGCCTTCTTGATATGGCACTGATATGATGTATTCAACCATTCCTCCCCTGGTGGTTAAAGAGCCTGAGGTAGTTCCCCATGCAGGCTTTCATGTGCAGAATGGCCACTTCAGGATGGTGCTTTAAACAATGTGCGTTTGTAGAGCTGCCTTTTTTGGAGGAGAAGGGATGAAGTGTTAATAGTAATATCACACCTGCTCAGAGTGGCAGAAATTTAGCTCTAGTTGTCCTGGCAAACTCATTGTAGAATAAAGATCAGTTGCGAATTGTGGGGTGTTACATTAGTATAGATGGGGAAGTTCAGAGTTCAAATGGTTAATGCTTTTGCAACTTCTCTCTGGGAGTAGGCCTTGCACCTTGTAGGTGGCTTACATGTTCTTTTACATCATTGAGGTTCTGTATTTCATCTATTTGTTTGAATTGTGAACTAATCTACCAGCCCATAAATGAGCACCAGTTAATCAAAGGGAGTGGGGAAGCAATGTTTGTAAGAATGGCTAATCCGGTAATTGTTTCAACTGCTACTGACGGCACATGGGAATCCTGAAGAAAGACAGCTGTTTCTTGAATTTGATCAAACTGGATTCCTCTTCCACAGGAATGTTCATCCGACATTATAATGCTTTACTGACTTCGCAGTTTAAGCTTTTCGATTTCAAACCGACATGCCTGTGTACTAAAACACCCCAGACCACAGAATAATACGCAATGATGTACCCCCACAATGAGGTCTAGTCTGGAGATGAGACATAATTTTAATAAAATCCTTGCATTTGATATAGCACCTTTTACATCAGGAGAATGTCCCAAATAATAATAATAATAATCTTGCATTTGATATAGCCTTTTCACGTCGGAGACGTCCCAAAGCGCTTCACAGAACACACTGTAAAGTGAATTGACTGTATATTTGTGGCGAACGCGCAGCCAATTGCGCACAGCAATGTCCCACAAACAGTCGTAGATTGAAAATGACCAATTTAATTATTGTTTTAGTTTGGAGGATTATTAGCGTGTGGTAAGGAAACTTGCCCAAGGTTCGCCCTGCTGGAATTGAACTCAGGTCTCTCACTTGCAAAGCGAGTGCTCTAACCACTGAGCTACAGATCCACGTGGAAAGCGCTTTCCAAAGCGCTTCACAGGGTTTGCTGTAAAAGTATGCTGATATATATTTTAACATGTTCAGTTATTACATTTAAAAAGTCGGAATATTGGAATGTTTCAAATCTCTTGCTACAATTCCATCATTAATGTGCTTAATTGATTTTGGGTCATTAGCAAAAAGATTGGATGCTAATTAATGTTAGTTTATCTTCCTGTGGCTTTGGACCTCATATCAACCTTGTATCCAGTTGGCAGTACTATCTTACTGGGGATAGGAGTAAGGGCACAATGGATGAGAACAAATCTTGAAGAAATCAGCAGAGATGTGAAGCTCACTAACATCTGGATGGTTTACACATGGCCAGAGAACATACTTGTTTCTGCTCATCAATTTTAAACTCAAGTTAATTTAACGCAGTGATCAAGGGTGGTTTGAGGTTAATTGAGCTGTTTTAGGACACTGCTGCTTCGTCATTACCTCAGATGAAAGAATGAAAGACTTACGGAAGCACAAATATGAATTTCAATATAACTGCTCAGTCTTTTGTGGCATTCTTGGATGCTATTCCAAATACAAATATCTGTAATAAGGTGGGCTTTGTGAGGGGTGGATTGGACCATTCATATCTGCTTTATCAAGTGCAACAAACCAAGCTTCTATTGCTGTCTGCTTAGATAGAAAAAAGCAAGGTTTGACTGGAAATACATATGGTATGCATTGGAGAGACTTGGCATTTTGCCAAATATTATCTGATGGATCCAAAGGCTGTACTCAACTCTTTGGGTCAGACTGATGCCAAATGGATTTCTTCCATCCTTACTTCCTTTGAGAAGGCAGACTAGGCAGTATTGTTCTCTGTCTCATCTACTTGTTCGGTAATGAAGCTCTTGGGTTTTGCTATCAGGATCAACTGCCTGAACCGTGGCAAATAAGTAACGGATCAATGTATATGCTGGCGATGTTTGGATTGTTTAATGTTACCCAGTAGAATCATGTCTTTCCCACTCGTAGCTTATTAAAACATGTAAGAAGACAGGTGGCTATCAAATGAATCTGTATGAAACCAAAACATGTTGAATGTGCATTAAGTCGCATGTGGGTCCTTTATACAGAGGCTTCTGATGGACTTGTGTATCCTAAGGTAGATAGTTAAGGGAGTAGAGAACATGCACTGTTTCGTAAGTACTAGACCATATCTATCTGATTCTGTTTGTACAACTACTATGGGAGTTAAACTTTTCACTGACCTGTTTGTTTCTGCAGACATCAGGGACTTCCCAATTCACCTTCCAATGATGCATTTAGCCAATACAGTGATGGGTAGGCATTCAAGGATTTCTAACGACCATGACCATCCACTTTCTTCAACTTGGATATTTACAGTTTAATATATGTTGAAAAGAAAATTATTCTTGGGAATAAAATGATGTTATGGAAAGTTTTAGAGGATGGGAAGCTGCCAGTAGTTGAAACAACAACAACAAGATTCCATTTATTGAGCGCCTTTCACGTTGGGAGGATGTCCCAAGGCGCTGTACAGTTGGGACAGGACCCGAGCAAGGGGGAAATGGTCAGGGTGAGGGGAGGGAAGGGAGGGAGCGAGGAGGGGGTAGAGAGTCGAGAGGGGAGCTGAAGGCACGGTCAAAGAGAAAGGTCTTGAGACCGGCCTTGAAGGAGGAAAGGGAGGAGGCAAGGCGAAGGCACTGGGGGATAGAGTTCCAGAGCCTCGGGGCTGAAGGCCCGGCCACCGATGGTAGGGTGGTTGGGGCGGGGGATGTGGAGCAGACCGGAGCCAGAGGAACAGAGACTGGTTATAGATATCTTTGACCTGGAAAGAGGAAATTGACTAATCCTATAGTGGCTGTAAAACCATCACTGAAATAACTCCAGTACTAACAGACAATAAGGAAGTCTGATTCGGCAGACATTAAGGAAGTCTGATTGTTAAGACTGTGTAAACACTCCAATTTGGCAGAACCTCACATGTAATAAAATGGAGCATTACCATAATATTGGGAAGTGGGATCAAGGGTAACTCATTAAATTTGACCAATTGAATGAGTGTTATACAATTTGGAGAGAGGTCTCAACATCTTGATGCTGGCAACAGTCCATGGATACAAACTGGGGTCTGATTGAAATTGCAAATTTAGATGTTGCTGGGTTGTCAGAGGGGTTCATCCAACCTCAGGGGTCGGTATTCTGGAAGGATAAGATAAGATGTCCTAAAGGGCTTTCTTCATCCAAACCAACTTGTAATCCTGAAAATAGAATGCTAGATCAATGATTGTGGGAGAGTTTTGCAGAGAATAGGGGCATAGAGGCTGAAGACTCTTCGTTGATAATTTTAAGAACTGGAGTGCAAGCTTGATTTCTGCTCCTGGGCATCAGATTTTTATTTATAAGAAGTTCTTTCTGAGGGGCAAGAAAGCAGAACATGTTTTGAAATTGAAGTGTTACAATCTCACGTCATCAAGCAACACAAGTTAAACTACAATTGTCATAAAGATGAGGTACTATTTAATTGTTAAGCTCTAATAACACAGTGCAATGATAACAGCTGTTGTGTTTAACCTTAAATAAAGTTTGTACTTATGTGAGCAGGGTTCTTTGCTCTTCCAGCAGCCAAATTCTGTTTACAAAGTTGGAATCCAAAATTAGTGTTGATGAGGGGGTTAATTATTTTTATACTTTTTTTGGTAATGTTACATGGTTTATAATGAAATGGCTTTGTATGACCACAGAAATTACTGTGCCTGAGGGCTTCTAATCATTCGGCTTGGCAAGCCTAGATGCTCCATGTTGCAAAAATTTGCATACATTTGTCTTTTATTGCTAATTTCAATTGGAAACAGCAGAACATGTGTTATCCCCTTGATGATTTGAATAGACTCAGCCACATGCAGAAGATTACAGTATTTGGAACGATCATCTGAGTTGGTATTTATTCCTTGGGAGGGGTTTTTTGCTAAGGTGCTGTTGATTAATATGGTGGACCCTCTATTGTGAGAAAGTTTAGAATCCTAGCATAAACCTTCTCTGTTTCAGAGCCTCCCCGATGGCTTGGTTGGTGCAGCTGCTGTGCAGTGTGAAACTGAGCCACCATGACCAGGAAGGTTCTAACTTCACTTCCTTGATTGACTGAGATGTTATAACTGGAAGGCTTGGAAGGAAAACATTGAGCTGGGGTTCCCTCTTTGATCTCTGTTAAAGGATCCATGGGCATGGATTAGGCTCAGTTATGACCACCTGTTTTTCCTTCCTCTCCCTCTTCACTTTTCTATTCCACACCCCCATCACCCACCCGACCTCTAGGATTTAACAGTACCCAGGATGAGACTGTACCTTCGGGAGAGGGAAAACTCGAAGCCTTCTTTCTCGGGTTTTCTGCCTTTGGGTTACTGAGGGAAACATTTGGTAACTTGAATCTGTTTTTTCGAAAAGTTGCAAACTGAACATGCGAATTGCTCTTCTAGGAAGAAAGAAACTGAAGAAAGCAGAAGTTTGGGATGTCTGGCGAGCAAGAAGAAATGTCATTCGATTAACCAATGAATATACTGTGGAAACACTGGTGGTGGCAGATGCTGACATGGTTCACTATCATGGTGCTGAAGCTGCTCAAAGGTTCATCCTGACTGTTATGAACATGGTACGTTGCACAAAATGCTGAAGTTAATATTAACACTTTCCTTCCGCTGATAAAAAAGGCAAACACAGCTTTGTCTTGCATCTGAATACTGAGTTGTTTCACTGTGAAAGCTTGTCTTCCTTATGAGCTGTATTAATTACTATGATGAACCTCACTTCCTTGATAAGCGCTGCATACAAAGTAAATTAATAAAAAGAAACCTCGCTTGGCTGCTTTGGTTGTGTGAATGGACAGCTCTTCCTTCAGCGGATACTTTAACACAAAAGAAGTTATTTCAGAGTTTATATGTACAGTGTATCAATTTTGAATGTGTTGGAATTCATATAAATATTTTTATAATATATTAAAGATGCTCCTTTTCAAAGACTTTAACCCATTGCTCTATTGCAACTCATTCCTTTACTTCTCATGCTTTACTGGCCTTGGTAGGATTTTCATGTGCTCCATGTGGTATTGAACGCATTTCAAATATCTAATCAATCTGTCCAAGCTTTGTACCTGGCTAAGATTTGCTGTTCACAATGGTACTTGTGCTTGGTGACAATTTCCATCATTTACATAATTCGGATGAATATTTGGGGCATTGGAACAGCCTGTGCTTTAATCAATTACTTTTTTTATGAGGCGTCACTGTGGGCTTTTTGCTGCACTTTGGTCTTCAAACATTCATGCCAGGATTCTGCTGTGCTTTTGTTAATGCTTATTTTTGCTACCACTTGTCTATCATGTGCATCGGATTAACCCTAACAGTGCTTTTCAGCATTACGCAGGGAGCATAGTAGATCGAAGTTACATATCCGTTTTACTGCTCTGTAACAAAGCAGATGTCAGCTTACAGTACAAAGGTTAGACTTTGTCAGCTGATGCAATGAATCTGGCAATTGCTGAACATTTTTACAATATTGGGCTAACTTTTACTATCTCTAGCACAATTCCAATGTCTCTGGAGCCCATAAAAATATTGACCTTGGGTGTTTGTTTATTTGTAGATTATTGCTTTAAACAATTAATGATGATAGACTTGGAAGAAAAGGGAGCTGGAGATGGCACTATGGTTTGAGTGACTGTCTCCCTACTTCTGTTAACTCTGCATTCACATGGTCAGGCATAATGTCTCCCAGCTTATGGCCAGGTGCTATGGTCTTTTTATTAATGCTCGCTGCTGATGCTCGTACTGACTACAAGTCTATGTGGAACTCCCACTCTGTGGGCTCACTGTTTATGTATATTTTCAGTTCACATGCTACGCTGAAAAGCTTACAATATAGTAGCTGTCTGGACATCTGGATAGCTTCTCATTACTGTAATATTAACCCTAAGACCCCAGAGTATAAAATGTTTTGAAAGCATTTGTCCTACTAAACTAAAGTTAAAGAGGAAAAATTCTATCTTCCATTGCTTTCTCTTCAACCCCCTTTTCCACCAATTCAGTTTTCTCAGTTTCATTTTGCATCTCCCTGCACCCCCCCCACCTTACCCTGCCCCGTGTCCCCGAACCACATGTGAATTTTCCAAGGTGGAAGCGTTGTGATTCAGATTGGCCCGGAACTGCCCCTGATGGGCGAGTGGAAATGGAAATGGTTGATGGGGTAGTTTTGTATGCGTGACCTTGTCAATCTCTATGGTTTTCAACTGCAAAGCAAGACGTGGGAGCCACTGATGTGATACAAAGCAGCCAGTGTGGTTTGCAGGAGTGGTGGTTCGAACGGTTAAAATAGATTATTGCAAACAATGAAAAAAAGAAAAAATACAGGGTTTAAGTTAGTTGATTCACTATTTGATTTTGTATTAAAAGGCACGTTAATGGTAACGCTCTTAAATGTGAGTACAGTTACCAGTCAACCCCTTTTTTTCCCCCCTCTTTCCCAGCTATTTCTTTCTGAAATTTTTGAGAACTGACAGAATGGCATTAACTCGGGCAGAGCCAAAGGGAGGCACTCGCTGTGTGTTTTATGGCAGGAACATTTCTAATCTCCTTCCCATTAATTTTCACTGACAAACTTGCTCCAGGTGTTAGTTGACTGACATCTTCTATATATAGCTGACAGTCTATTTTGATTCTGTACATAAATCCATAGCTCCTGTAGGCATTCAGTCAACCCTTCACTCTCCCAGTTTTGTGTGTGCATTGCTGGTATGTGCAATATTTAAGCTATTTTGCTCTATTCTTTGTTGTTCTATTGTGGAGGGGTTTTATCAAATGCACTGATCATTTTTTTTCCCTGCAAGTATTTATGCTGGCGTCAGCTAAACAGAAATTGATGGGCTGAGGTTAAAGGGATGTAGAAAGCTAGCCAGCACTATTTGTAAACATGCAACGCGAACCAATTTCCTATCGCAGCTATGATTTTATGAGGTATATTTTCCGAAAGTTCACTACTTAGTAATCTTGATGCACATATTTCACTTGCTGCATGTTGGATTTTTCCAGGTGTTTGGCATGGCAGCTTCAAGCAGAATGAGTGGGAAATTTATAGCCAGTGTAGGGGAGGGTCCAGTGAAGGCTGAGATGCTTGTGCTTTGTTTGCACCAAGGTCATGCTCGTGCCAGTATTGATAACTTGATCCAGGATCCTTTGGCAGGTTGACTAACTCGTGTCTGTACAGTGCTGCCAAAGCCTTCATCTCAAGCTATGATGTGGCATTGCCTCAACTGAGAGGCCATATATCAGGAATTCCTAAAATCAGAGATTGATTGCAACAAATATGAATAGCTGGCACTTCTCGGTGGAGAAATAGCTTAATTCGTTACTACGTACCCCTGGACTGAGACTCCTTTGTAAGTTTCTTCATTTGCCTTCAGTGTTTTGCATTGGGACATTCCTCTAAATGAGGAATCAATATTAAGACTAGATTTGTTTTACCAGCTCAGCTCTCTATTTAAAAAAAACTAGTCATCCAATTGCCTTAATGGTACACTTTATCCACTTCACCAACACCGCTAGTTTTATCAAGTGGCAGGACACTAGCAATGTTCACCCCAAAAATGCATAGTGACACACTGTATATCCTGTGAAGCACTTTAAGACTTAATGACACAATTAAGTGTGATATCAAATGGAAGAATTACTATTACATTTATACACAAGTTTTACCACCAAGTAAACTGGTATGTACAAATAAATTAGGCTGGTTTGTGTGCATCAGTCTATAATAATAATCTTTGCATTTGATATAGGGCCTTATGTCATTGAGACGTCTCAAAGCGCTTCACAGAATATACTGTAAAGTGGATTAACTGTATTTTGTGAGTGAAATGCTATGTTTAATTTTATCCTCCTTCCACATTTATGGACCCAGAAAGGGTGAGGGGAAGCAGAAAGGATCCGGGAAACCTGAATTTTTTTTTTTTTAAAATGGAAATGAACACAGATAAATCAGCTATATGCATTTCAGATTTCTGGCATTGCAAGCTCTGTTTTCTCTCTCCTCCACATAACTTTATTTTTTTAAAAGAGATGTACTGGGATTTAGAAAGTACAGTACCCTGATCTGCAGTCCTGTAGATTAAGCAACTGGAGTCTCAAAGCTGTCTGTCACTTGTCATATTTAGGTGAATTTCAGCAGTTTGTAGTTTGGCTGAAAGATTGCGCAGTAGCAAGATTGCATTCATAACAATAAAAATCCTTGCATCTGATAGTGTTTTTTCACGCCCTTTCAAAGCACCACGCAGGATTTTTATTGTGAAGGTGTATTTGTAGATAATTGCAGCAACCAATTTGTCCACAGCAATGTCTCACAAACAGCCATGAAGTGAATGAACAATTTTATCTGGAGGATTGTTGTTTGAGATTGCATTGCTTCTCAGGAGGAGTAGAAGCTGATCTTGTGCACACACAAACTTTGTGAACTGCACATCTTACCTGCCCATCATAAAGCGATGCATGAAGTGGTAACGATTATGGAGCTCATTAACAGAGCATTGATATTCCCTTTGGGAGCGGCCATGGTTCACCATGATTTACATTGTGTTCTCCAACATGTACAAACAGTACAACAAAAGCATCCCTGTCCTAATCAGCCTGGAGTGTTAGAGGCAAGGGAAGTACCCTGAAATTCAGATGAAAAAATTCATCCAACAGTGTTGAATTTTGCATCATCTATTAAAGCATGATACTAGGATTTGTTCTTTTAAACTTGGTTTGTTTTTTAAAAAAAAGTTGTTGGAGATTCCAAACCATTTATGGAAAAACATGTCCACTGCTTCACCAGAGTTTGGCTTTGCTGCCGTGTGCAGATTATTGTTTAGACTGACCTGTCTGCACGTCTTGGAGATGAGCACAGAGTTAAGGATAATGTAGATGAGCCTCTTGATAACGCAGTTAACTGCTGGATAAGAACAAAATATGATGTCCTGTCTTAAGTCAAACCAAGCTGTTTTACACAAAGAACAAGGGATGATTGTTCTGTTCCCCACTGAACCCCTATGTGCACTTGGGAACAGGTAGCTCGAGTAACATTTGTAGAGACCTAGGACAGGACGTAGTATCTGATTTATTGGAAAATTTTACATGTCAGAGAAAGAGATGAAGATGAGGCAAATAACCCTTTACAACAGGACAGGAACGAACGTATCTGCCTGGTTTTGCCTAAATTGGTAATTCCTTGCAGTCACACTTTTTTTGTTCTTATTGCAGGTATACAACATGTTTCAGCATCACAGCTTGGGAATCAAAATCAATATTAGAGTCACAAAACTAGTTCTGCTTCACAATCGTCCGGTAAGTTTATGTGTTTTTGTTTTTTAAAAAAATAGATTTTAGCTATTTCCCATAGGCGAGGGGGTGGAGAGAAAAGAGAGCAATAGACTGACCAGAGTAAAAAAGAAGTTGGTTGATCTTAAGTTTATGTTTCTGGCTTTAAATTGAACCTGACTCAATTGTTTAAGCTTGGGCTTTTTTAAAACTGTTGTTTTGTTGAGCAACCAGGGAACTGTGGATCATTCCTCATGCAATTTTAGAAGCAGAAAGTTACTTTCCTGGAACATCCCTTTCAAATGAACTTTGTGTAGTTTTTGTATTTTTGTTCACCTCCCTTTCATAATAAGTTCTTTTCATTAAACAAAAAATGTTTTCTTTTATCTTTCAGGAAAAACTGTTGATTGGACACCATGGTGAAAGATCACTGCAAAGCTTTTGCCATTGGCAGCACAGAGAGTTTGGAGGAGCTAAATATCTGGGGAACAACCAGGTGCCTGGTGGAAAAGATGACACGCCAGCTGTTGACGCTGCTGTATTTGTTACCAGGTATTTCATTGTTCTCCAGCTAGCTGAACGTTTTAGCATGACATTTCCAAAGGCTGCTTCAAACTTGGGTCAAGAAAAACACTCTAAAAACATTTAAAATGTCTGTAATGTCTGACTCACCAGGGTTTGTTTTGTGGCAATCTGCCACTTACTACTTGTATTCTTTTCAGATGTAGAATAGTTCATCTTGTGATGGTCTTTATGAGTGCAATCTTGAGTTGTATTTGACTCTACACATGTATTCATCGGTTGAAAGTTAAAGAATAGGCTGCTGCTTTTGGCAGTTATACAATTGAGCACAATTCCTCCCTCCACCACCCCCCCCACACACACACACGCACACCGCCTTCACAGCAGAAGGTCCAACAATAACACTGTTAGACATTGTAAAGCTGCACTGTGAGTGGTATCAGGTGGAGTGGAGATAGGCTGGCACCAAGTTCAGCATCTAAATAATGATTCCACAATGACTCAGCTCAGACTATGTGCACTGAGCCAATTTGATTGTAACAATAAATCATCCAACCCAGCACATATGGCACCCTCTGCAGAGGCCTGACCTTCCTCATGGTCTTAAGAAGTTTTGGAAAGTTCTAAACTTTGGTCTTCATTTTGAAGCTGGTTTTCCGCAGGTCTTTTTAAGTAGCTTCCAAATCAAGACGTGAATTTCAAGAATTTTCCCAAATCTTGCATGTTACAATTTTAAGACTGTAAATCAATCAAACCTAAGCTAAAAGTCAAATATTTCTAAGAGGTACAAGGAAAGGAGCGAGGACTAGGAGTCCTAGGTTAGAGTACTGGAGGAAGTAAATGGGGCGACATAAAGTAGATTGCAAATAGTAGCAACTGGGATCACAGAATTGTTTTTGCAATGTTAGTAGTGGTTTATTAGGTGTTTTAATCAATGTTATGAAGGAATATTGGGTAAGATCAAGAAGGTCAGGCTCTGCTAAATAGACTCTTCACATTTCTTTTTCCTAAATCAAGACTAGTCAATTCCAGATACCATTTTAGCTCTACAGAGCAGAGTGTATGTGAGTGTAGAATATCTGCAATGGTACCAGTTCAGATGAGATGCACCTTAATACCTTCAAGAATGAAACTCTAAAAAGTATCTGCTAAAGCTTTGCATACTTAAACGTTGGAGCTATACCTAATGATCTGAAATTATAGATCAGTCAGCCTAATGCTTGTAGTGGGGAAAGTGCATATGGGATGATATCAATGTTCATCTCAAGAACACAGATGTTGTAAAGGATTGGTCAACAGGGATATAAAAGCAATTGGTCATGCCCCATCAGTCTACTGGAATTCTTTTAAGCAAGTGACTGAACTATTGAATGAGGATTACCTAGTGGGTAAAATGTGCTTGGACTTATTAAAAGCACTGAAAAAGTTCCACATGTGAAACTTTTCAAAGGTTAAATTTGGTGGAAATATTAATTTGAACAGCTGGATTGAAAGATGTCATAACAAGCAAAAAGTGGTGAATAGAAAAAGCTGGGGGGTGAGGAGGGAGACAGCCCCTTTCACAGAGGTAGCCCCTTTATGTCTTCCCATGTTGGGTGCTAGTACTTACCTAGGGAGTTGATGATAATCTCATCTCTGGTCATTGGCAGTCTTAACCACTCTTAAATTGAAGTGCATGTGAGATAACTCACTTAGATTTTACCCTTCATTTCCTTGGGATAACAGTTTGATCTCTCTTCTGGCATCTCTTCCAGTGACTGCCATTTGACTGCGTGGGTTGTGATCTGAATCATTCCATGGTGCAGTGCTGCCCAATGCACCAATTTTACATAACCATTGACTGTTGATTTGTTTTAGAACTACCTGTAATAAGTCAGGCTAATCCTGTCAGTATCTGCAGTAGTTCTAGTTTTAGCAATTGCTCTTGATAGTTATTTTTTAAATTCTGGAATACAGACACTCTATTTTAGTGCAGACCTTAAGTGCACCGTTAAGTGAATTATGAACACCCCATGTTGCTGGTTACAAAGTAAACTGGAAAATATTGGGAATGTCTCACCACTTAGTTTAAATTTTACTTCATTTAAACTTTTTTTTAAAAAAAACTTTAGCCGCGTTCCATTTTCTGAGCATAAAAGCGGTTATTCAAGGGCCAGTTGAAAAAAGAACACACAGTCTAACCCTGTCTCAGGTGTACATAGAACTCAGTTCAAATGAATGCATGTGAGCCAGTTCTTGGAAACTACACCCAAGAATTTTGAAAATTTGAAAGGCAAGCAAGGCAACTGTTGAAAAATAACTATTGTATTGTAACAGCTGTATGGAAAACCACTGGTGATATCAAAGTTTGTTTGACTTGGAAGGCAGTGGTGAAGTTTATGCCAAGACTGGCATCTGTTCTACAAAGAACTCTCAATGGGTTACTTTGCCAAACCCATTTTAGAAGGAGGCGTATCGCTGACTGTAGCAATATCGTATATAATATCCATTGCCCATACATTACAACTGGCATTTATATAGAGCCTTTCACATAACATCAACACTTGAGAAATACAGTGGTGGACATTGAGCTGGGAATTGGAGATCTAAAGATAATGACCAAAGGACACAATCAAAGAGGTACTTGGGCATGTAGCGAATGCCAAATGCAGAGCACGGAGCAGTGTTTTAGCATAACTAGAGTAGTGCCAACCAAGTCACTTAATCAACCTTCCACTATTGTGAACAGCTTGCATCGATTTTAGATGCTGGAGTTTTTAATCTCATTCAGGCCGTCTCGGAAGTCATGTCCTTCCTGTCACACGACTGACACAAATCACTTGACTGTGAGCTAAGACGGGACCAGATTTGACAGCTACAGCTTGAACTTTCTGCTGAAGGCTGTGAGACTCTGCAGAATCGATTAAATTCATGGGATGCAATCAAACCTCCGAGCAAAGATATCGGAACAAATCCTTTTCCTTGGCATTTGAGTGCTCACGACCCAGACTCAAAATAGGATTTCAAGAAGTAGTTTCTTTTGGGAAGTTCAGAATCTTCTTGAAGCATTTGTTTTTTTTCCTGTGATGGTACATGTTTATGCATTATTTTTTGGATGATCTAGTATTAGAGTTGTAATTCTGATGATTGATTTCTGCGTAAATATTAACATTCTTTTTTTTAAAATCGCAAATATGGTCTAATGGCTAAATATGGTATATTTGCCTCAATCAGCAACAAACTGTTGAACAGAAAGCCCCTGAAATATTGCATATTAAATTGGCAAATTTAACACTAGGTCTAAAGATTGAGTAAATGTATATTTTTAAAAAATTAGGATATGATTTATTTCACCATAATAGTATTCATTATCCTCGCAAAATGCTAAAATCCTGTCTCCTGTCTTACCCAGACGCTATTTCAAGGAATAGAAATGCTGGTACAAAGCCTGAGCTATTATTTGGTTAGTTGCAAAGTCTTGTCTCTATAAAAACATGTGTATCATTTTGTTATTACACTACAGATGCATGGCAAAACTCATGGATTTATTTACGTTCCATCGATGTAACAAAGTTTCAAATAGGAACCAGACACAAGTTCTATCAACTGAAAGGATTCAGCGTTATTAGATTTTAAATTTAATGAATCTAAGGAACCTTGTGAGAAGTTGGGTAGATCCAGTGAACTGTTAATAATAATAATAATAATCCTTGCATTTGATATAGTACTTTTCACGTCTCTAGACGTCCCAAACCGCTTCACAGAATATACTGTAAAGTGAATTGACGTATATTTGTGGGCGAACGCGGCAGCCAATTGCGCACAGCAATGTCCCACAAACAGTCATGGATTGAAAATGACCAATTTATTATTGTTTTGTTTTTTTGGAGGGATTATTATTAGGCGTGTGGAGTAAGGAAACTTGCCCAAGGTTTCGCCCTGCCTGGAATTGAACTCGGGTCTCTCACTTGCACAGCGAGTGCTCTAACCACAAAGCTACAGGACTCCACGATGGTCTATTTCTTCCTGAAATGTTGCCTTGAAGATACATAGATATATAGACATAGAAGCAGGAATAGGCTACTTAGTCCCTCGAGCCAGTTCCAACATTTTATAAGATCATGGCTCACCTATACCTCATGTCCAGTTACCTGCACTTGCCCCATATTCCTTAAAGTTGTGTGAAATCAAATGATTCACAGAGGAAAGCTTTCCTTCACTGCACTCGCTTCCATTGAGTCAAAGGTTGATCCATTTGATTTGAAGTTGGTGCCAGCCTCTTGATGCTTCTTGCTCTCAATGTTCTGCTCCCATAAAGGCCCACTGCAAGGTCTAATTGTTCCAGTAGTCAATCTTTCCAAACTTGGATTTGAAATGCATGGAAAATTGGTTTATTGACATTGGCTCATCAATACTGCACTTGGTAATTTATGCACACGATCAAGAATGCCTCGTTGGTGGGTTGTATTTTTCTGTATTTAAGACTAGTAAATTGATTAGCTCATTTTCATCCAATCCACATGCTCGTCCAAAGCAAGGATTTTTTAAATGTTTGAGTCAACACTTGACATCCGTGATTAGCTTCATGCAAACCATATGTTACGGTGTGCTTTGGAGGGTCGACTAGACTAGCCTTTTCTTACCCCAACTTTTCCTACTTTCCATTTGTTGCTGTATAGCTTGGAGTACAAAAAGCTATCCAGGGATTATTTTAATAAAATGATTTATTTTACCAGTAGACTGTCATTGAAATGTAATCGCCTGATCTGAGATTCATCAGTTTTTGTCAATTGACAAAACACAGTCTTAAATATTATGGAAAGTTTAAATGTTCCATTCATCTCAGTGTAAGCCTGGCTCTGACAAGAGAACTTACATACTGTTGTATTGTTTGGACAGCTGTTACAACTGGAACATTTCATTCATTTTCACATTATTGAATGATCCTTGGCTCTGGTTCCTGATTTAAGAATAAAGTATACTGGTAATTTCATTTTCTAGTCATGTTATACACTACAACCTCAACTAAGTACAAGAATGTTGTTCAGCAG